AAAAAAAAAAAAAAAAAGTAAAATGTAAGTGTGCCTGTTTGTAGTAATACAAAATACAAAAACCATACAGCTCTGCTGAAAAGCCAGCATTGTTTTCTTCACCAACGAACAACATGCACCCACAACTTCATAAAAGGAGGGAGTCCCACATTAAGTCTGGAATCGGGATTTACAGGATCAAGAGGACTACAGTAGGCACCAGCAGCTGTGAAAAACACACAGTACACACCAGCCTTGGATTTTCATGCCCCTACAAGTCACTCCCTTGCAGCCATTTATTTGTGTTTTCCTTTCAATCTTTAACAAAAAAAAAAACCAACCCAATCTGGTGCCTGTCAAAACGGCAGAACTGGTTCACCCCAGAAGCACTAGACCCTGGAAAATTGCTCCACTGGAAATTTCTGTGGTTACTTCTGCTGCCCATGGCAAAAGATGCAAAGTGATTGGACTTGCTCCTTTGCTAGCTCTGTGGGGCATATTCCTTCTATTCATCCCATTCAGCAAAAAAACCCGCTCCAGGGATCATCAGTTGTCAAGCAGCACCTTGAGCTGCACGTACTTTTGGTCTTTACTCTGTTGAGTACATCAGCCAACATAAATCAGAAAATCCCGTTCTTTTCCCTGCTGTGCTCTACCCAAACGCCAAAAGAAATTGAGATGATGGAGGGGAGCAGAAAACTGGGCAGGGGTGGTAGAGGGAACAAAAACTAAACAGAAGGTCCGCATAGCAATGGGTTCATGGACATACTAAAAACGTTAAAATGCATTGGATCCAGCCAAGAATGCTAGCTTTGACTCATTTGTTCTTCTGAAGTTCGTAAAAGTAGTAGTTTCTTTTTCCGATATTCTTCATTCTCTTGCTCTGCTTCCTCATCTATAGACTTTCTTATACATGCTTTTAGTTCCTCAATTCCTTCTCCAGTATATGTAGATACAGGAATTATATCTTTGAACTCAAGTGTATTTGCAGGAACCATTTCTTCCTGTAGTAAGTGTAAGAAGTCTGAAAAATCATACTGAAAGTTAGTATGACCCCCAAACAGTTTATCACTACAAAGCCCATAAAATCCCATTAAATTTAGAAAATGAACTTTAAGAAATGGCAGTAATAAACATAACTGTGATTACTATTGAAGTATAATTTGCTTAATTAATCTTTAATAGCTAAAGTCTCAGAAGACAAGCACTAACACAGCAGTTGTACCATACCTACACCTTCAGGAGAAGATTCTATACCCTTCCTTTAAGAACAGTACAAGGAAATCCCAAGCTGTAGAACGTGGGAGACTGATGGTTTTAAGCCTTCCTGGTTCTTACACACTCCAAGAAATAGGAAGAAATTCACCCCAGTGTAATAACAAAACTCAAACAAACCGCTACATAGGCCTGTCCAGAATTTTCATGTGTTTCGGCCAAAGTCACGTGATAACTTGTCTATACATCAGTGTCTGTAAGGGGACCTTCAACGGAGCTTACTGTTATCAGAGATACTGGACAGACTGGAAATTTACTCTCCCATATCACAGTTGGGAAAGATCTAGGATCTCGTTATTTTATTAAAATACCTCCCCAACAGTGAAGCCAGCACTGCAAATGCATATAAACAGATCTCCAAATGCCAGAAATGGTTTTAAAGCATATGTTCAAATAACAAATTTAATAGCTGACTTCAGTTTCAAACTACTCCTTGCTAACGCAGAGTTTCCCCTGATGAAATCTGATTACTGCTTTTGTCAAAGGTAACTGTTGGAAGTTAATTTACCTTGAGGATTTTGTAGCTGTTTCATAAGTTCATTCAAGTTATCCTTTGCACAAGGCAAATCCATTTTATTAATGGCAAGAAGTGCAGGCTTTGTTAGAAGTTCCTCTTTGTACAGCTCCAGTTCCTTAAAAGACAAGTAAATTTGCCTTAGTAAGTGCTTGTATTTTAACAAGTGCTACTTCGGTTTTACATCTCCT